TAGGAAAGGTCTTTTCATCGGGTTGCTTGATGGAACTTGAATCAAGCGAGCTTATATTATTGATGGGTTAYCTGTGTCCTGTGGATTATATTATTGATGGGTTACCTGTGTCCTGTACCAGCTTCTTTCAAATGTTCCACTATAATATCATCATCTTGGACATCGAGTATGACAGCAAGTTTACGAATTAATTGACCCTGAAAAACAATATACATTCATACAATCAAGCTTCAATATTTCTAACAAAAATGAGAGGGAAATGCAATGGTATGTGGAGAAACAGAAATAATGATAAAAGGATGAAAAGTGGGAGGTTGCTGAAGATAGATGTTTGTTCTGAAACTTGTTTTCACAATGGTGCAAATCACTTGACATTTCATCAGGAGTTTCTGGAAAGTCTTGGACTCATGGAAAGAGTCATGTGCTTGCACATGCAAGGCCATTCCCAGGAGATTCAAGTTTTCAAGAAAAAAACCCTCAAGATTTCAAGAAGACATTGGTAGGTGCCAATGTTGCCAGTGTTGTCTCTTCACAGAGGAAAGTAATKCATATATCTAAACAAATTGTACCTTATTTTCTTCTGTAAAACGTGTGATATCTACATCAAGGTAYAGTTCCACCAAGTGAGCACTGTTTTCATCTGAAAGAGAGAAAAAAAACCATCAAATAATGATTGTTATTTGCAAAGAAAACTGACATCGCTTCACAATAAGTACTTTTGCCAAGGTGTGTCATAATGAACATCACATGATGTCATAAGTGGGGGGGGGGGAGCTATTAATATTTAAATATATTACCTTCCTTGACGGTTAAAAGAGCTTCATCACTTGATTTCAGTCCTTTGGCATCCATAACTGTGAGTTTAAATTTATACATTCCTTCCACTAGATTAGACAGTCTTAGGATAGCTTGATGATCACTCTTATTGATAACATCCTAGAGAAAATACAACAAAGTATATTAGCAAGACTGACAGACATCAAAGCAGACTGGACGGACAGACAGACATCGAAGCAGACTGGACTTTAACTTAACAAAATAAAGTGCTAACACAATAACACAATAGTTTGAAAATTATATGGAAGGTTAGGGAGACAATCAAATATGTTTAATTTTAGTTTAATTAAGGGAGATTGGACAGACATACCCCTGCTGCAGGGCTTTTAGGGTTCAATTTTAGTTTAATTAAGGGAGATTGGACAGACATACCCCTGCTGCAGGGCTTTTAGGGTTCAATTTTAGTTTAATTAAGGGAGATTGGACAGACATACCCCTGCTGCAGGGCTTTTAGGGTCTCTAAGCCAAAGGTACTTAGTGATGCCATGATCATCGGTAGACTTGGAGCCATCTAGTTCAGCAGCTCTGTTTGGTAAATGTACCACAACATCAGGTCCAGCAGTGGCAACTGGTGCCTGGTTAATATCTGGAAAATATGATACTTATATCAGTTTCTTTATTCAATACACAGAGATATGATAATCCTGGTCACTTTTTATTGATAATAACTCATTAAGGATAAGAGAAACAGAGCTTAATTTGTGTGTTTTGTTTTATATCTACCTTTCTTGACACTAACAGCTACAGTGTCAGCACCAGTCAGACCCCTATCATCAGTTACTGTTAACTTGAAAACATAGTGTCCTTCTTGTAGCTTTTTGACAGTAGCTATTTTATCATCTGMTCCTGATATTTCTGCTTTTGAAGGCCCACTTAATAAGCAATAAAACACAATGTTAATACTATAGAAGACTTGATATATAATGCATGTTATGATTAACTCATGTTTGTGTCTAATAAGGAACTCTATTTTGAGAGGGTAGCACGTAATAGTCTCTAGACTAGTAAACTTGTGGCCCTCTATATATTCACTCACACTCACTACCTCAACATTCATATTATTTTACTACACGACACTCCTCACAGCTAGTTTTTGACTGAGGGAGGAAAACCAGCGGACCTGGAGAAAAACCCTTGGAGCAAAGAAGAGAACCAGCCTACAAACTCAAATCACATATAGTACTGGCCTGGGAATCAGTCCTCCATGAATATAAACACTACAGAGAGATGTAAAAYACTTGAGAATAAGCTCACCTTTCCTGTTCCCAGTGATATTTCACTATTTTCTGATCATCATGGCTTTCAGTAGCATCTAATGTTGTAGAATCATCAGGATAAACAAGATCCTAACAATTCAAAAATAGGAATGTATGGTTTACTTACATATAAGACAAAGAAATTGATACATGTTTATAGGAAAAACTAAATCACAAAAGAGAGTACCAAGTGCTCTACAATCTGGGTGTTCATCAAAGGAGTCTTATAATATCTGATAATAATTCATTGCTATCACAAATAAGATTTTTGTTTTGTATACAGTCAGATGCATCACAGATTTGTAAAGCCTTATTTATTTGTTCTGTTTACACACACAATACAATGTAGCTCAACTTTTGAAACGATTAAAGTACTTTTTCCTGGTCTACATGTACCTGGAATTCTTACCTTATCAGACCCTGCTTTGGCAACAGGTGGCATATTCTTCTCAGGTTGTACTACGACAGTAACTTTAGAAGTAGATGACAACCCACCAGTGTCTGTTACTTTTAATATAAATGTATAGTCACCAACCACCATATTTGAGACTTTGAGGAACGGTGAGTTTGTTCCTTGCATGTCACCTACTGCAGGACTAGATGGTGCTTTACTCCACTCATAGCTTACAATACCCTGCAGAAACATTATGAGTTAACTTGATATTGGTGCTCATACACCAACAAAACTATCATACACTATTCTCATTTATTCATCTATTTATTTTCCAGGAAGACAAGGCACTGAGAGAGTAAAGTGTCTTGCATTAGGACACAACGTGATTGCCTGGTCTAGTGATTGAACCCAGGCCTGTAAATCTGAAGTCTGATGCATTAACCACTGGACCATCATCTCTCTCTGTTTTCCAGTTATTATCTAACACAAATTGTTCTAAGTGTACACTTACAAAGTAAAGAAAGAATTAGATTTGTTTAGACCTGCCAGGAACTAGTTATAGTATTATTGTAAATTATTTTGTAGTTTTCTTGAATATTAGACAATAACATATAGAATGGACAAACATTAAAGATGACTACCTTGTTGTCAGTGCTGCTGTTACCATTCAGGGTCACATGATTGACAGGYAGAGTTAGGACGACATCATTRCCWGCCCTGGCCACAGGAGGGTAGTCTTTTTCTGTAAAGCAAAACAAACAAAAATATTAATCAAATGAATATTATTATAGAAACAAAACATGAAATATAAAAATGAATATTTGACTCACCATCATTGACTGTTACTGTAGCAGTAGTGGAGTCCTTCTCTCCATCAGAATCAATCACCGTCAATCTGTAAAATGATAACCACATGTACTGTCAATAATTTCATATCCTAATAATAATTATTAGAATATGTGCATAGAGATTTAACATCTAAAAGAGGGTAGTTTAAAGTCAATAGGAGGATTAGATGAACCCATAGTTTGAAAATGTTTGTTGCAAAATGGTTCTCAGAGATAGAGTCTTTGTACTTAAATTGAGCCCACTTAAAATGTCTGTATAACAGTCACTGGATATTTGACCTCACAATAATAATACAGCTATTAACTACTGCTGAAACAGGGTGGGTATAGCTGAAGTAATTACACAATAAATGGGAAAGAAATGAAAGCAGAATTGTATAATACTAACTTGAATGTGTAAATGCCTGGTACTAGTGACTTGAGTTGTAAAACAGGTGAGTCTGCACCACTAGATATCACCTTGTTCTTATCATTCAAAGGACCTTTAACCTCTTCCCACTTGTATTGTACAATCTTGTCATCGTCTGAACTCTCTGTAATTCAGATTGTTAAATTTAGCACACAATATTTCATTTATATATTTCACATACATATAGGATATTACATTGGTGGGTAAAGATACAGATTTTATCTTYAAGTGTTGAAAAGATTTCTCACAAGTGAGTGAAGCAAAGGAGTTAGAAATTTTCAACACGAGAAGATAAAAGTTGTATCCCCAAGYGACCATGTATTATTCTATTTATMATATAATTATCAACGAAAGCAAATTACATTTTAAAATTACTTTTAGTTAGCTCCAATATATTCTGCAAATAACAACTTTACGTGATGGAGAAATATAGGTGTTTTATAGATAATTATTGAACAATTAGTGATGAACTTACTTGACCCATCCAATACCACACCATTTGTAGGCAAAGTTATAACTTGTTCTTTAGGAGAAATGTCAGCACGAGGTGGTTTATTTACTCTTGGTGCTGAAAGAAAATTATTGTTATTTAAATCTTATCWYATGCAAKCCAATATTATTATCATGAAAAATATAAAAATACCTGGTTTCACAGTAACATTCACAAAKGCAAAACCAAAAGCRCCGTTATTTGTCCCTTTGACAGTAACTTTGAATTGATAAACTCCAACATGGCTTAACTGTGGAAAATAATGCATGTATTCAATGAAATTTCAAAGAAGAATTAAACAAAGTCGATCAAAAGAAACTGCTGTGGCACTACTCTCGATCAGTGAGAGCTACAATGTACACATATTGTTGAATTGTATAGATAATGTTAACAAAGAAAGGATTACTGGTACCTTTGTCAAAATGACTCTTCTAGTATCCTTGCCTTCCATGTAGCCATGACTGTCTTGAGGAGCTGAGATTTGCTGCCAGTGATATGCATATGGATTGCCTGAAAGATAAATACAGACATTAAAAGTTACACAATTCAAAACAGCAATTCAAACATAATGAATAATGAATATTATGCTGAATTTGTTGAGTTTTTAACAAGTTAAAGATACATGTAGATCCCTACAATAATTCCAGTACCGTACATGTAAAAACACACAGAAAACCAAGAAGTTTAAGGAGTATTAAACATCCAGAATACAACTACATGTACATAATACATAGTAAAAGAAGACTGTTTYCATTTACTCAAGCTTAAAGGAGCTGAAAGTTGACAATGTAATTAAAGTGCTATTAGCATATTTGCATTGAGGCAATACATGTTGTTTTCTCTGCCACTGTRTTTTATGKTTTATTGATATTAMAGAAATAACAACCCTTACCAGCAGTTTCTTTAGGAAATGCACTAGCATACAGTTCAATACTGTTGGTCGGTAAAGTAAGAACTTTATTACGTCCTGCYGATACTTGTAGAGTAGGTGGAGCTGTAGAMCAAACAASCACAATATTATAATTGCATTTTATRGTTGACATTTATCAATTTGTTTCTTGAAGTACTGGGGAATATGGCAGTGCTTCAACTCCTGTTATTGTAAATGGAAAAAAATGACATTCTTTGATTCTTGTTTATCTACATGTATTTAAGTCACCAATAATAAAGTATTTTTTATGATTAAATGATTTCTGTGTCTGGTTTTCAATATAAAGCACACATATTAACATATCAGAAATAAAATAGAATTTCTATAAAATACCTTCAGTAGTTTTCATTGATGGTTTCTTAGTGGCAATATGTAATCCTGTTGGACCTTTGCTTGGTGACGTGATTGCTACACTAGATTTAATTGAACCTGTAATGGGAAAAAAATCATACTTTATTTGTTTATCCATTCATTATTCATTTATTCACTTCATTTAGTCATCAATTCTTACCTAAAGATGCCTTTGTTGGAACTGGTGATGCTACTACACTTGCAGTACTTTGATCTGAGACAAAAAATCAATTACCATAAAATTAAGCATAGTTGTTAATAGCAGTTGAAAGCAATGGAAATCTCTTCTTTTCTTCTCCTCACCCTACTTTACCTAGCAATGCTGGTACCCATTTATATACCTTGTTGAGTTTCTTTAAAGATGTAGATTAATCCAGGGTTAACTTTATGATATTAGAGTAAATCCAGGATTAGCTTATATCAAGCTTTGAACAACACAGCCCTGGGTGAAGAGAGGTACTAACTGTTCAAAGCACCTGAGCTGTGATGTAAGGCGATTAGGACCCACCACTTTTCCTTTCCCATTTCATTTTCATTTCCTTCCACTTCCTTCAATTTTTTTTATGATCTAATCATGATTATCRTAACTGTTTTATAAGAAACACAGCAAATTATATCTTAATATTATATTAATAATTATCTCTTATATTATTTAATATATAACAACTTACTTAGCTGAGGCCTTGCCGTCACATGACCACTCAACACARCACTTCCTCTTCCAGTAGGTTTGTCATTTACATCCAAATTGACRTCATCATTGCTTAACTTAGAAACATTTACAAATGCTGGCTGAGCAGGTTCTTTAGAAGCTGTTGGYGATGCTGCTGTTGGTAATGGTTCTTCACTAGTTTCTGGTGAATCAGATTCTGTAGGTTCAAGCAGGTTCAATGAYTTCTTCAATCCTAGTCCTARGGTTTTAGATGACACTGTAGTAGGAACATTTGCAGCTTTAGGTAGACTTTCAATGTCCGTAAGTCCTTTTTTCTCAGTATTTTGATCTGCATCTTTCTCATCATTTGTTTTGCTTCTTTTAGGAGTATCTAAATCCTCATCTGAATCATCATTTGAAATTTTACTTTCTATTGAAGGAGATATTGATGGCCTCATGGAAGGTTGTTGGCTAATTTTCTGTTCTGTTGAAGTAGATATTGAT